GTAGGTTTGGAAGATGCCACTTTTCTTTTTAATAAAGTAGTCATTGGTGAACCAGGATGTGCCTGTACATGGGTGGCTCTAGTCAGTGTCACTTCCCCAAGCTCCCTACTGGTTTGTCTTTGTGAGCCCCAGTCAGAAAGCTGAGTGTCTTCCTTTCTGTCCATCACGATCCCTGGAGTTGCCCACCCTGTGGGAGCTTGCGCATTCGCTGCCACACCCACCTCCGTATTAGATGTGTTGAATGCGCCACCTAATCTTCTGGGAAGGTTGTGAACAACTGGGTCATGATCCTAATGTCAGTTATATGGTAGAAGTGACCCTCTGTCCTCAGGGCCATGGCCATAATCCCACCTAAAGCCTATTCCCTCCCTTGCCCTGAGCCTAATCCCAAGACAGAGATGTAAGGCCTGCCTTCTCTCTGGGAGGAGGCTTTATTCTTTAAAAAAAGTCGCTGACCCTGAGCCTCTTTGTTTGCAGCCCTTTGTCAGCAGTTGCTCCTGGCTCTCATGTAGGGAGGCTGAGGGCCTTTGTGTTTCTATTAAGAGTAGGAAATAGGCTTGCCAAGTGACAAGTGTCCATTGGGTGACATGAAAAAACTGGGCTTATGGCCAGACCAGTCACATGTCTCTGACCTCTAGATCTGGATACTGAACTATCTTGCATTTGCACATCATTTTAATGTTAGTAATAATGACCAGCATTTAGTGAGCATTTACTCTGTGTTAGGAACTATCTGAAGCCCCTATTACATGGCTTATCTCATCTGAGTGTTGCTGCAACTCTGAAATGAGCAGGATGGGTTAAATTTTAAAATCTCAGAGAACAAACTTTATCTTCTAAGGGCCTCAGTCTAAAAGAACAAACTTGTCCAAAGTCACCTAACTATTTAGGACCAGACTTTTATCCCATAAATACGGGGTCCACATATGTCATAGTCACAACTATATGTTTAGTCCTTTACTTACTGTTCACTAGGCCCTCAGTAAATATCGGCTGAATGAATAAAGGAATGGACAAATGAAAGTGAATGGGGCTAAAACTCAAATTATCCTCTAGTTATTTCAAAGAGTAAATGAATAGCTATCTACAAAGTGTTTGTATATGCCTGCTACATATAATCTACTATGTTGGCTATAAGTAGTTAGCTATAATTTCAGAATTTATTAGTAAGTTTTTATGGAGAACATCTATAGAGATAATCATTGATCAACTCGAAGAATAACTTCATAATGAAGTCTACACATGTCCACTGTCAGCAGATAACGTTCATGCTATTTTTATTTACTGTGTACAGGATGCCTGTGTGGGCATCCTGAGGTTGAGATTTTGTTTACAACATCTGGAAACAGTGGCCGCCACTGGCCAGAGTCTCTCAGATTTGTGCCTCAGCAGAGGAGGAGATGGACTGTAGTTGTAACACTGACTCAAGGCCTTTTCTACCAGTTGCTGGGAAGGATCATCTGGGGCGCCAGTGCTTTGCTAGATCAGCCTCTGCAGGATTTCAGGGCAGTCTTTGGCTCCTTACATTTTCTAGCTGGACCATCACCAGAATGTTCCAAGGCCATGAGGATATGTAGAGTTGGTGCCAACCATGAACTTAGTAGTAGTTCTCACCTAGGTTTCTGTAATTTGGTTGGAAGGCATTTTATGAGAGTGGTTTGAAGCATTATCTGCCCCAACTTTGCCATTTTATTTCCCGTTACAGCCCATAAGTTCCCACATGTTCCCTCCTAAGGCCTTCGTAGGAAAACCCCCAAATATGTCACTGCATGGAGAAAAGTCCTCACATCTTTGAGTCGTTTTTATTTCTAATGAGTACATTTTAATGACTATGTTACCTCATAGAAATGTAGAATGTTATTATTCCAACCGAAAAAGGCAGTGAGGGAACACTGGCCTTTTCAAACCACTGCTTCTGCCCCTACCTGACCCTTACTTCTCCTCATCCAAGTGAGAGGTTTCCCAATGTCTGAGGCCGTTCTAAGAATGGAGAGTCTCATCTCCATTACCCTCGGGTGAATTTATTTTCTTAAACAGTCTCACATCCTTTCTTGACGATTGACATCATCGTGGCTTTGTGGTTATTTTGTTAAGGACCAGCAGTGTCTTAAATTCTGTACCATACAGCAAAAGGCCCAGAACTAACCCTGAAAAGTTTTATGGAGCCTGAAAGGATTGAATTTAAGGACAAAGCATTAATGGGGCTAGAATTCTGATCTGTCTCTTTTCAAACTGACTTTGCACACTCAGTCAGACTGGAACTCTCAGCCTGACTCCACCCAGCAAACCATATGACCTTGAAGCAGACTTGGAGCCAGTGGAGCCGGGCTGTTCCCTCTGCTAGGGGAGTGATGCAGCACTGCAGGATGTTGGGGACTGACCCAGTACCATGTGAGGACCCTCCCTTGTGTGGTACGTAAGGAGCACTGATCAGTGGTAACTTCTGGCTGCACCCTGTTGCAACAGATGGAGATTTTCACAAAAAATATCGTGGTGTTGGTACTATAAGACACCTGCTTCCATGACAAAGACTTACTGCCATCTCCAAGCAGCTTGCCTCCCCATACCTGAGAGCCAGTGCCAGGCCAGAAGCATCACAATGTGTGGGGATGGGGCTTATCTTGGATGCCAGGGGCACCAAGCTCCAAGAGGCTACCCAGATGCTGAGGGGTTACAGTGTACCCAGAGTGTGCTGGATCAGGATGGGAGGGATCCAGGGCATCCCTCGTGAGTGGGTGATGAGGGAGTAGAAAGCTGAGGGGCCTAGTTGAAACCCAGATCACATCAGCAGGTATTGGAGGTAGAGCCCCATCTCTGAGCTGACTTGTAAGAGCCCAGTTGGTGTCCTCTGAGAGTAGCCAGGGACTGATCATCAGTGTGCACTGCGCTGGGCACACTGGCCGTGATGGAGGACGCTTTTCCTGTGGCGGGTGGCCAAGAGGCTGGGCTTTCATTACCCCCAAGGCACTTTGGAAAAGGGGCAGAACATTGGATGGTGGAGAGCACTGGGGAGGGCATAGGGTAAAGAGTACTGGTATTTGGCCAGGAAACCCGCTGGTATATATCAATATACATGGCACTCTGGGACCAAGTAGGGCACTGGTTTTTCCTAAAGCTGTAGCAATGAACTGTGTACTGTGTGGTAGCAGTAGCAGTAGCATTGACGGGCAGAGGACCTCCCTTTCGGAATCCCTGTGCACTTTGTCAAGATGGAACACAGAACAGTACCTTGCCACTAAGCACTTCCGGCTTACCTCTGCCCGTATCTGATCCTTCTGGAACTCTGGGGATTTGCAACTTAGATGTTTACGTCTTTATCACTGTTATTCCAAAACTCCTATGACTGACATGGGTGCACATGTGTACACACATGCACCTTTTTACTCCTCTTCTAAATATCTTCTAGGTCCAGCATCATTGTAGCTCAGGCCCATTGCACCTTCCCTGGGGACCAAGCACATGCTCCCTGTAGTTCTCCACACTGGGATTGTGGTTCTCCACACTGCACAGGGCCACTCTCATTATGCTGGGACCTTGTTCAGACCCTTCAAAGGCTTTCAGATCCTTCCCATGGAATCCAGGGGTCTTCTTGTGGCTCATGGGTCCAGCCTCTGACAGTACCCATGTCATTGCTGTGTGCTATTCCGGGAACACACGTCCTGCTTTATCTGCTACCGCTGCTAACGCCTTCAGGCCTCTTCACCATCTCGTCCTTTCCTTTCTTACTGCTCGGTCATCATTATTCAATGTTACTGCTGCTGATCCCTCTCTTCCATGAGCACATACTCTCTGCAAGGACAGGAGCTCTGTGTGGCCATCACACCCATGGGCCACCACGCAGGACCTATCAGGCACCTGGCACCAGACATTCGAGCAGATGAATGGACTCACAAGATCAAATAAGATGATGTACACAAAATATCTACCAGTTTGTCTGGGACCTAGAGGCTCCCAGGGTACAGTTTATTGTTTCTCTGAATTTTCACTCACCATATTTCTAAGTGCCGGGCCTCTGGCTCTGGGGATACAGCCACTAATGAAACATGAAAATCTGCCTGCCCTTGTGGGCCATGCATCCTAATGTAGTGGGAGAAATGTGGCTATGGGTGTGAGTGTGGGATAGGTGTTGTTTCCTTTTTCCTTCTCTTTCAGCCTTCTCCCTCACCTTTCCCCACATGTCACCTCCTCCATCCCTAGGCTACCTCTGCTCTCCTGACTCCTGCCTGCCAGAGGTCACCAAACTGCAGCTTTTCCTGCCGGAGCTGCCTCATTGAGGGAAGAGGGTTTTAGTAGACCCAGCTGCTACTCAGGCTCCTAGAAGGACAGTCTTTTGTCCTAGCTGGATAAATAGGTCAGGAGTAAAATTAGAAAATCCAAGCCCTAAGTCCTAGTGAAGTGTTACAATGTAAATGCTGTCCTAGGCTGCTAAGCCACTTGCCTTCTCTCCTGTGACACAGGACTGGAGGGTGCAGCCAAGGGTACCTGCAAGAGCTGAAGAGCCAGCCGGGAGCCTTTCCCAGCCCCTCAGGGGAGGCTGAGGCAGGCTGTGACCCATGCCTCTCTCTGCAGTCCCAAGCTCAGGACTTGTGAGGGAGTCCTCATCTCCAGAAAAACTCCTCCCTGAAGATGATGGTTCAAGAGCCAGCTCTCGGCATCACACACTAGGGAGCATTTAGACCCTTCATGCCACCAAGGAGGGGCGTTGCTCCGTTGCAGCATGTCTCATTTTGCCTTGACCCATTTAGGTTCCAGCTTAGCCAGCTGTCAGCTAAGCTGACATTAACTGTTCAGGACCCGTTGTGTCGTTCATTCTTGCCACAGATAATTTGTGTTTCCTGAGGTGCCACTTGACAGCCAGAGTATCTTAAAAGCATGGGGCTCTCGGCCTGTGACCGGTTAGAGGAGGGGATTCTCTGCACACACCACCACTTACAAACGCCTGCTGTGTTTGCTTATGCCTGGAACAGTGAGATGATAAAGTCATCTTGTTTTTGTTGCAGAAATTTCCAGAATTGAAATTCAAATATGTGGAAGAGGAGCAGCCTGAGGAGTTTTTCATCCCATATGTCTGGTCTCTGGTCTACAACTCAGCAGTGGGCCTCTACTGGAACCCACAGGACATCCAGCTGTTCACAATGGATTCCAACTGAGGCAGGGCACACTCCTGCCCACCCCCCAGCCAAACAGCCCTGCTAGTTATTTTATTCAGGGGAACAGAAGCAGACATCACCTGGTGTGTCTTCCATCAGAGAGGATCACATGGGTGTTCCCCTCTCACACTTGGGAGAATTGATGCCAGTGGGCCATAGATCACTCAGCTTAGATTGTAGCGCAGGGAGGAGGGTGTGCACAACAATAATAAATGTAAAATCTGCTACTCAACATGTATTTTTATTTCTGAACCAAAAATCTAGAGCTTTCCCATGATCCTGATGCCTTCAGAACGTAACACTTGAATAGTACTCACTAATTGTGTGTGTGTGTGTTTGCCTGCCTGCCTCTCAGTGACCCACACTTTCATAAACACTATACTTGGGCAGCCTGACACTAACCTCTTAAGCCTCCATCTTTCCTGCAGAGAAGGAAAAGGGCTCTTTTTCTGGGGATTTGGCCTCTGAATGGTAGCTGGAATTCAACTGGAGCCCAAAACAAATTAAGTTAAACTTTACTGCATTAATCATTGGAAAAAGAAGAATTTAATTTTGAAAGCAATCTTTTCCTTCACCCAGGCTAGTAGGAGCAAAAGGAGATCAAGTTATTGATACTGTATTCTATATGAGATGAAAAATGTGATTTTCTCTGTTTCTGGTTTTTTTAACTTTGTATTTTTTATTAGTACATATTTGTCATACATATTGATCACATTCATCATAGGGAATTTATAACTGTACGTAATATATCTTGATTCTTTTTTTCCCCATTTCTCTCCCCTCCCTTCTTTTTTTCTTTTTCCTCTCCCCATTTACAGATGTTTTGTTTGTAGTTTTTTCTTTCTATTCTCATTTTTTTTCTCTTTTCCCTTCCTTTTTCCTCTCCCCATTTACAGATGTTTTGTTTGTACTTTTTTCTTTCTATTCTCATTTTTTTTCTCTTTTCCCTTCCTTTTCGTCCCCCTCCTGCATCCTTAATTCTTTTCATTGGAACATAGTCTTATTTCGCAATATCTGTCTTCCGTTATGCTTTTTGTTTTTACCCTTTGGGTTTCTCATACAAAAGAAATAATGTGATATTTAAACTTGTGTGTCCAGTTTCCCTTCAGATTATGGTCTCAAAGTGCATCCATTTTCCTAAAAATGACCAGAGTTTATCCTTCTTTCTGGTAGAGTAATATTCCATTGTATGTAAATACCACATTTTCTTTATCCACTCATCTGTTGGTGGGCATATGGGCTGTTTCCAAGACTTAGCTATTATAAATTGTGCTGCTGTAAACATGGGTATACATACTGTCTTAATTACTTTTCTCTTGTTGCTGAGGCAAAATATCCAGTACCCAAAGTTAAAGGGGTAAAGGTTTATTTAGCTCACAGTTTGTAGAGGTTTCAGTCCATAATTGGCTGGCTCTAAGACAGGGTAGCACATAGCAGAGGGGCAATAGTTCATGGCAGCAGAAAATAGCAAAAACAACAAGAGCAAAAAGGGGAAGAGTAAGCCTCTTTCTATCCCTTATATCGTATGCAGGCTACCCACCATAGGGCAGGTGTAGCACTCACACCCATAGTTCCAGCACTGGACCATGAATTAATCACAAACTCTAGATTCAGCCACCTATGAAAAGCCACCTCCCATGACTGAGACTTTGGGAGAACATCTAGAAGCAAACCACAACATTTCATCCCTGGCTCCCCAAAGACCTGTACATTGCTTTGTGCAAAAGGCAGTCCATCCCTAAGAGTTACCAAAGCCCTAACAGTTGCAGCATTGCTGAAAAGTCTAAGTCCCAAGTCTCCTCTGAGATTTAAGGCGAACTCTTAGCTGTGAGCCCCTTGTACAAATAAAAAGATAGTTAAACATGTCCAACAGTCAGTGGCACAAGATAGACATTACCAATAGGGATACAAAGAAATAGGACCAAAGCAAGCCCAAAATCTATAAAGGGAGATGTTAAGTACTGTAGTTCAACTTCCAGCATCCCTAGCAATCTGTGGCAAGTTGTGAATTCCAAAGGGCTTGGGTGGATCCAACACTAGGCATGGGCAGTGTTTGTAGCTCCTGTGGCTCCTCTGTTGGGCTGGCTCTGCTCCCCACTTGCAGTTTTCCTCAGATGATCCATGTCTCTGGCTTCTCCAAACTGCTGGGGTCTCTACTGCACCTTTGGCACACTGCCCTTTCAGGGCCACACTGCCTTTTCTGAAATCAGGGTGGAAGCCTTCCTGACCCCACAACTCTTGCACTGTGCATGCACCTAAAAACAGTTCCACATGGATGATGCCAAGATCTGCTGCCAGCTGAAGCAGTAGTGAGATTTCCCTCTCTTGGCTGTAGGGGTCAAGTGCCTGGATCCCTGGGCACTCTGAATCCAATTCTGAGGGACAAATTCTCTGTGCTGCCACCATTCTGGAATATGGTGCTCTGTGGCTGCTCAAAACAAAGTCTCACTTCTGTAATTTTGAGGCTGTCAAGGGTGTAGTCCTGTTGTATCTTGTGATGCCCTCCGGCCATCTTTTCTATTCTGTTCCTTCTCAACAATCAGGATCTCCTCTGTGCTCTCTTTGCAGTCCACAGCTTTACTGGAGCTTCCTTTCTGGCTGAACTCAGAACAATTTAAATCATTTTGCTTGATTCTTTGCTCTTTATTCTCCACATAAATCTGGCTAAAATCCCCCAGCAGTAGCCATGCCAACACCTCAACATTCAACTGCCTTGAAATTTCTTCTGCCAGCTACATTAGCCTGCTGCCCTAGTCTCAGTCTCAGACAAAGTCTCTGGATATGAGGAAAACATAGACAAACTTTGTGCCAAGCCATAATGCGCATGATCTGAAGTCCAACAACCAGTGTAGTTCTTCCCAGCAGAAACCTCCCAAGCCTGGTTTTTACTGGCAGAATTTCTATCAACCCTTCTGTTCTTCTGAGTTGTGACCAGAATCTCCCATACAGAACAGCCTGAGGTGTTGCAGCTCTACCTTTTCAGCTGGCATCTGCAACCTTTCCAAACTCTTCCCACAAGCCATTCCCAAAGGCTCCTGAACCACATGGTCAGGTATAGTTACAGCAACGACCCCATTCTTAGTACCAAAGTTGTTGTAGTCAGGGTTTGCAAGGGAATAGATTTAATACAGAATACATAATATATAGGGTTGTTTTATAATACCAAAAAAGTCAAATGGAAAAGAGTGCAAGTGATGGATCGGTCCACACACTAGAGACCCAAAGAATCCAGCTGGGGCCTGGATTCCATGGCAATGTCCTACACGAGTCCACCGAAGACTTAGGAGCCTATGGCAATGTCTTCCATGACTTCAGCTGGAGGCCTGGAGCCCATGACAATGTCTCATGCAAATCTGTGTCAAGTATCTGCACTGGGAAGACCCAAAGGTCAGTGGTGAAAGCTAAAAGTCTGCATCTGCAGGATGAAGGATCTATGCCAGCAGGCTGAGAGATCTGCACTGGAGCCAGGAACCAATGCTCACGGTTAAGGATCAGCGCTCCCCTGAAAAGAACTGTAGCCATCCTCAGTGACAGTGAGGACCCAAGCTCCTCTGACAGTAACAACTGAGTTAATAACAGGAAAGCCAGCATGAAAAGCTTCTCCAGAAGAATCAACAAAATCTGCCATCTTCTCCTCCAGTTCTCCTTTTATGCTGTTGGCAACAATCTTTAGGTGGGCCTTCCATACCCAGAACCACTTTGACTCAGTTCAGCTTGGTGTTACAAGTTACCCATTAATTAATCCAGTATCTTATTTCTGCACCAGTTTTGAAAGATAATTTTCCAGGGTACATCATTCTGGTTTGGAGAGTGTTTTCTTTTAGGGCTTCAAATACTTCAGGCTCTCCCTGACTTAAGAGTTTGAGGTAAGAAGTCTGGTGTGATTCTGGTAGGTTTTCCTTTCTATGTGATTAGTTTCTTTTCTCTAACAGCTTTTAATATTATGTTCTTGTGTTGAATTTCTGGAATCTTGACTATTTTATACCTCAGTGTCTTTTTTTCAGTGCATCATTATTTGGAATTCTATATGCTGCACTTAACTGTATCTCAAATTCTTTTTCCATGCTTGGAAAGTGTTCTTCTATTCTGTGAACAGTTTCTTTTTTGTTTTTTGGTTTGTTTTTTTTTTTATCCCCTTTGTGCTGTCTTCTCTTTTTTTGTACCAGGAATCAAACTCAGGACCTTGTGCTTGCCAGACTGGTGCTGTGCTACTGAGCTGTATCCCTGGCTCTGTGCTGTCTTCTTACTCTTCATTGATTGATTCTAATTAATAGTCATCTTTCAATCATCTAGTAACTATTGGATTGATTTTTTGTGACCCTTGGCTATTTTTAGGAAGTCTTTTATTTGATGGGCACCAGTCACAGTGCTGTCTTGTAGATCTGATGGTTGACTCTGCTTGCTGCATACACTTTCAGTAGAATTTTTAATCTGGATTTCTATTTGAGTCTGTTTTATGGAGTCTTTGTTGGGCATTCATGCTTTCCATGTCTTTCCTAAGCTCCTCTATTTTTTTTATCTGTATCTACCCGATTCACCAATTATTTCCTTCACTATAGTCATCATCTCTTTAATTATCTCTGTTTTGTTTTTGTCAGAACTTATTACTGTTTTGTTACTCCCACTGCTGCCATTTTATAAAATTTAGCTAGGTGGCTTTGATTTCTTCCACCTTAAGATTCCCTGATTTGCCTTGGGTGAGCTGGGGGTTAAAGATTCAGGTTGCATCTTACTTTCATATTTTCTCATTTCCATTTGTTTGTGGTTTATTTTCTGTGTTTTGGCTTGTAAATCATTTATGGTAGGTAACCTTATTACTAGTATTGAGACCTGTTTAGGAAATGACTACTTTTCAGAAATGTCTTCCAGGAGTAGATGGCTTTTGGGTTTTGAGTCTGTCCCAGGACCCTGCCTCTTCAATTTATTATGGATGAAAAGTTGCTGCCTGTTTGGCCTAGCACCCAGTTCTTTGCTACTGGACTATAGTATTGTTTATGACCCCCAGACAATCTAAGTAGTGCCATTCAAGGAAGATCAATTGATCACAACAACTATGTCACCTTAGCTAAAGTAGTACAAGCATTAATAACAATAACATCAAGCACAGACCAGAAAATGACAAACTGTGATAACTATTAATTTGTCACCTTTAACCATAGGTACAAGATTTATACAGTGGTGTCTTGGTTTCAGAACTCAATTCTCTCCATGATTCTAGTTGCAAACCAAACT